ATTAAATTAAAACGAATTTTAAAATCATTTGAAATAATTTATATTAATTACTAAGCAATTTTCTAAACTTAATCGGCTTAAATTACCCAAATAAAAAAAATACGTGTTATAAACATTTTTGATTCACATTGCAGTTTGCTTGAATATGTTTTGTGCAGCAGCCAACGTTTTGCACTTGACCAAGTAACATTGGCCATTTTACCTCGGTTTTGATGGCCTTCACGAAAGCGTCAAATCATTTGATACTCGTACGTGGTGTTGTTGTGGCTTTTATTGCGGTTTACAGTTAAAAGATACTTAGATACGTAAGCAAATTAAAGATTGGTTTCCAGTATTTTAAGCTCTTTGAAGGTTGGTCAATGAATATGTTTGATAGTGAATTAATGCCGATCCGTGGAAGATTTTGTTACACGTGCTTATTGCTGTAATCTTGCAATAGAATACACTTTTAAAGTGATAAGTTCAATATCCGTATCTAATCTATTAATGATATTTTGAGATAGTAGTAACCGCAACATACCAAGATATATTTCAAAAATTTTTTGACAGATATGATGAAACAATATATATATACCTTTATATATATAGAAAAGCAGTAATGCATCATAAGGAGAAAGATTGAAGAAGAGTAGTTTAGAAAGAGCAATAGTGTTATTGTGACGAAACTTTTTTTCTTATTTTTCTCATCTAAGAAAAATAAAAATTATTATTTTTATTAAGAAATCTTAAAATGAAATAAGAAAAATATTATGTACACATAAAAATTTTCAAAATATACGTATGTATATATATACGTATACAAAATACATATTCATTGAAACTTATTGCATGTATAATAACAGAAATAAGAACCCTTACGATTAAGACATACGTTATTGTGATAGTTGAGATGATGTCCAAGATTGACCTTATCTTTGAAGTCAAAGCAATCAGAGACCTCTCAAGAAAAAGATTGTCATAAAACACATATTCAAGGCAACTTATCCTACTAGATTGGGCACACGACATGTATCTGCTGTTTTAGGGCTTCGTTCAGATTCAGGATTACTGGAAGAAAATTGAAGTTCAAGTTCAAACTCAATGTAATAGCTAATACGTCTCAAATTTTTAGCGAGAAAATTCAAGTATATTTTATATCGCCAAAATTGACGAATTTGCGAAATAAAAAAATATCTGTAACAGAATATTATATATTTCGAAAATTCTATCCAACACGTTATTACCGACACTAAGGTTTAACTTTTGCATAATATTGATTAACGATAGCATCGTTAGTCAACGATCAATGCTAGCAAGCTTTCGTTATATTTAATATCCAATTATGGTTCAGAATTAAGCTATCATTAATCACTGACGATATTAGAACCCGCTTGCAGCAGACGTCAATGAAAAAATCAGAAATTTTAATCAGGGAGAGAGAGTTAATGGAAAAGGTTGATTTAATAAAGAATAAATGATTGACATTTAAGTATCCTTAATGGCTTTTTGAAAGATTATATGGTATATAGATATTAAATTGATACATATAATAATTTACGCAAATCACAGATTTAAGATAATTCTGAACTTGAAAATAAAGTACTGATTGATCTCATAATTGGTAAAAAGATTTCAAAAGACAATTAAAAAAAAGGTTTGTGTAGCAGATCTAAAAACCTATACTCAAACTTAGTTCTTTTTGATGTTAATTTTTTCTTGCCCAGAGTGACGCGTCTTTATGACGAAAAGAAACTATTTAAAAGTTAGACGGATTTGAATAGCAAAACAAAGACAGGGACAAAAATTTATTTAATTTATTGAAATTTGTCTAACCATACAACGCTGTTTGGAATATTGCCAAGTACTTATCATCAATGGTCTTAGAAAATATTCGAATTTCTTGGTTTATAGTCCGTATATAATTTATTTGAACTGCAAGTGCTAACCTTAGGACTCGGGCCTGTCAAATAAGAAGCGGTTCTTTTTAATTATCTTGTTTTTAGAGCCGGAAATATTTGGAAAGTGGTCGTTTCTACATGGAAGTTGTGAAGATAATGTGAAGGTAGTTTGAATTGTGTATCGTATTTACAGAAAAAATACATAAACTCTTTTTTTATTAGGTAGAATTGGAATGAAGAATAAGTACCAAATATGTTGGAATTTTCCCTTATTAGGTTTAAAAGAAACTTTCATATTTTTGCAATTCTTCATCAAATGTTTTCAAATGAGGATCATTATAATTTTTTATTTATTTTGAAAAAATATGTGTTGAAATTCTAAATTGCAAGATAGGATTTCTCTTCTTTGGTTCTTTAGAAATATTATGTCACTTTTATTTATCATGTGAAATAAAATCTTATTCACGTACTCATTGGCATTTCAGCAAAGGTAGACGCTCTCAGCCCAAGTAATGCATAGCGTAAGCACTTAATATCTACAGTCAACAATTTTAACTGAGAAAATAATAAATAAAAATCGCTTTGAAGCCAAAAGGTATTTCTGTCAACAAAGCATTTAAAATAAATTACAGAAATAAATTAAAAAATGTCAGCTTTTAAATAGTGAAGGAAAACCCGAAAATAATATGCAGAACATCCCAAAAACAATAATTAAAAATAAGCGTCGGTAGTCGCGCGACAAAACTGAGCTTTTGTATCTGTGAGATAAAGTATCTGACGCTTAGACCTACAAGCCGAGCTTGTGAGTTGGCGAGTTCGCCAGTTTGTGAGGCTGTAATGCAACTTAACGATGATTTGAAAAATTTGTAAAATTGCGTGCGTTTGATTTTTGATAGGTTTAACTACTTTTCGGTGCTGCTAAGTGCTTTGCTTATGTTTTTCTTCTTTGTAAGCGGTTTCTGTAAACGTTTTCTTTGTCGAAATCTTTTTGTGTTCGGTTTTTGCTTATGAAGTGCTTTTCGCTATTCAGATAAAGTTTTTTGTTATAGATTTTTTCATTTATTTTATGGAATTTATGTCAAGGTCACTTTTTAGTGTGTCTATTATGAAGATTATGAAACTCTTATAACACTTTCAAAATATGAGGAATATGACAATAAACATAGTACGAAAGCGTAGAGAGAAACAGCTTTTGAAAGACTATCTTAAAAAGTAACGATAGAAGTAGGAAATATTATCATCACTCATCCATGTGGCTAGTCAAAATATAACGCTATCGTTA